AATAGAGAAAAACATAGAAAAAGAGATAAACGCGGGGAGGATGTTTGGCCCTTTCTCACACGCACAGGTTGCGACAATATTTCCATTCTTCAGGTCAAGCCCGATGGGAGCAGTGGTAAACGGCGACGGGTCAGTTAGACCGATAAACGACTTAAGCTACCCAAAGAACCGCAGAGACCAACCGTCGGTAAACTCCTTCGTCAACAAAAACGACTTCACCACGACCTGGGACGACTTCAACAAAGTCTCACGGTTTTTTAGGAACTTAGACGAACCAGCACATCTGGCCCTATTCGACTGGGAGAAGGCGTACCGACAGATCCCGACAGCAATGGACCAGTGGCAATACCTCATGGTCCAGGACTTCAACGGGGACTTACTCCTAGACACCCGGATAACCTTCGGAGGGGTTGCTGGCTGCGGCTCCTTTGGGCGACCAGCTGATGCGTGGAAAGACATTATGTTACATTACTTCGACCTAATCACAGTTTTCAGATGGGTCGACGACAACTTATTCGTCAAGAGCGTCGACTGCCAGACGAACATGGACGAGATAGTCAAAAAATCAACCGACTTAGGTGTATTGACAAACACCACAAAGAACTCTCCTTTCCAGGAGGAACAGAAATTTATCGGTTTCATTTGGAACGGAGTAGACAAGACAGTACGTCTACCGAAAGAAAAAATACTAAAACGAATTTCTCAGGTCGAAGAATTCCTGAAAGTCGGACGAATGGTAACGTACACAGACATCGAGATACTCGTAGGCCGACTAAACCACGTGACGTACATACTACCTCAGCTCAGATGCTACTTGTGCGCACTGTATGCGATGCTGTGTGGGTGGGTATTTCGAGAACGCCTTAGACCCCTATCACCAGAAGCTATCCAGGACCTGTCTATTTGGAAGGAAACCCTGGGAAGTTTTGACAGAAGCAGACTAATTAGGAGTCGAGGCGCCACAGAAATCGGCTGGGTAGGCGATGCCAGCACAAATTTTGGTATTGGAATCATCATCGGCTCATCCTGGGCTCAGTTTCAACTCAAGAAAGGATGGCGAAAGGTAAGCCAATCCACTCGCGGTATAGCTTGGTTAGAAACGGTGGCGGTGCGATTGGGATTAATAATGTTAGAGAAGATTGGTCTTCAGAGAGGTAAAACTTTCATTGTATGGACGGATAACACAACGTCAGAAGGAGTGATAAAAAACAGGAAATCCCACGACCCATCAGTCAACTCAGAAT